AGTACCTAGAGACATTAGATGCAAACCATTATCACTATTTACTGGTAAAAAGCTATCAAGATTCGAAAACCTTGTCTGAGATCCATTGACAATAACCCCTACCAGGACCCCTTTCTGTTGGAGAACTAACAGATAAAAGCAGCCTAGGTGATTCACATGCTACTCATCATCTTTGCCCCTGCAACCCCTTGGACCTTATGAGAAGATACATGAAAGATAGCATATTAAAAACCACACGAATCAGATCCCCTTGCCAAGTCAAGACATATGATTCAGAAAAGAACACCAGATCCACCATTGTCTATCTAATCCACACACAACACAACATCGTATTCTGTGTCGAGCACCATTCTCAGATACAACACAAAGCTTCCAAGCGATAAAAAAATTGAACCAGTAGATCTAATCATGCTTCGAAGTATAGCACTAGTGAGAAAGCAGGAAAGAAAGGAAAGAACTAACTTCGCACCTGTGCTCGGATTGGAGAACGCAAAGTTCAAAGAGAAGAAGTTGAGGGCCGCTCGCGCAAAGCTAACGCGCAACGAACGAAGAATGAGAAGAAACCCTAGCAATTAATCGGTTAAGAGGGTTTTGAACCTTGTTCGGTCTCGCATGAAATGACGATCGCGTCAACCAATTTTGTTTATACGTCCATCCTGAAAGGGCATGATGGCCGTTTTAGTCTTAGGGTTGCTTGTTTGATTATAAGAAGGATTCATAGTTTTCGGTAGGGACATGGATCAATCCGAACCCGAACCGCTCATACCCACCCCGTCCCAAACAATATGCATATACTCCCCTAAAGACCGAAAGACTATTTTAAAAACAAGAACATGGCAGCAAATGTGGAGATAGTGCTCAAGTAAAGAATCTAATGGAAAAAACAAAAGTACCTCCCACTCTTAAGGCCTCCTTTGCTGTTCGGAAGACATTTATTCGGGTATGTGCATCAATCAATGTTCTTTTATTTTTTGGGAAATAAGAAATGACCATTTAAGTCATAAAAAACCCATGATTAAAAAGGGTAATTTTGTCCCATCCAAGTGTCATTAACTTTTCCCCAAAGCCCCATTCATTTACTGCTGTATTGGGGTGAAAGTTGGTCAATGGAAAAATTGACCAAAATTCCCATGTTCTTTTACAAATACATGTGAGACCTATATAAAATATAGATTCCCCCGAATAAGTATTTTGGCCATTTACCTGGGAAAACCTTACCCACCTCAGAGGTGGATAAGTTACTTTATCATTGTGGGGTGATTTTGTTAGTCGAAAATACCCCTATTAACAATTAAGCAAACCAAAAAAGAAAATTAATTTTGAAAAGAACTCACATATGATGAACGATGCAGATCTCCAGCTGCCACTCTTGGATCTACTAACCCGACAACCTTTATAATCCACCATCCCTTGTACCATATCTCCTCCTCCTCCCAGCAGCGGAGATTCACTTGCTGAAGCATCTCACAGCTCCATTCTTCCACGGCCTCCTTCTCCTCCTCCTCTCTCTCTCTCTCCCTTCTACGCAATCAACAAAGAGAATTGAGGAGAGACAAAAGGGTAATGTTGGAAATAGTGTAAAAAATTAGTCTCTTACCCAAGAAAGTTGGTGAGACAAAAGAGCATGAGTAAGTTGAAGTGTCGCATTTACCTAGGTAAATTTCAACATAAAGAACATGGGTAAATAAACTTACTTGGGTAAGTGAATTTACCCAAGTAAGCAAGATAGCAGTAAACGAACGAGGCCCAAGTGGGAAAGTTACTTACCCCTAATACCTAGGGAAAATAATTTTTCTACAAACACCACATAAAACTATAAAAATGAATATGTGTACTTTGGTCAATGGGAACCAAAATCCCATTGACCACCTTTCCCCCTCTCAAAATCCAAAAAAAAAAAAGAGAACAGGCCCTAAGAGAAAAGGAAAGAGATGAGGGTGGAATGGGATGACCTGAAGAAAAAAAAAAAAAAAACAAAACAAATGTAAAGACACTATGTTTTTGAGAGAGCAAAGTGTAGTGTCAACACCCATTTTGCTTGGTCCACTGCCTGAACCTCCAACTCACCCCAAACACCCGATTAGACCCTTCTATAAAACACCTAATAACCTAAAAAACCCAAAATTCACCTCGAGAGCTCTCAGATCCACCGCTAAACCTGTCCGATACCAATCCGATGGCCCCAATCGACCCCTACTTACACCTCAACCACTAGATCTGACATAACCAKCAGACCCAGGATCTCTCAAAACACCTACCTGTAAAATTTCAACTCAAGATTCTCCTATTTACCCCCTTATCAAATGAAGATTCCATTTCGACCTCCCTCATTAGCCTAAATACTCAGAGATCAGATTACCTTGATCTTGACACACTCGAACTGATCAGACTACACCTTTAGACTATGGACACACCAAATCACCTGCTCATGAAGTTTCAGCCCTATATTCCCTCATTCGTCCCTCTATCAAACCAAGATTCCACTCCGAAGCAAGCTATTGACCCAAATTCCTATGATCTTGACCATCTAAGACAAACCAGACCTCTTAATCAGATCCCACATACCTCCAAATACCCACTTGTAAATTTTACCCCAAAAAACCTTTGCTTACCTCTCCATCGCACCAAGATTCTATTTTAAGGCTCCAGATTGACCAGATTCCAAATCCGTCTGATTCATGCCCAGTTGACCCAATTTAAACTTACCAATCAAATCAGACTGCCAAAAAACCCTACCCTGTAAAATTTCACTCGAAACTACTTTCGTTTACCCCTTCATCGAGCATAGATTCCATTCCGAAGCTCCAGATTAGCTGAACCAAGCATTTTTCAGATCTGCCTGATCCGGGCCCATTTGGCCCAATCTAATACCACTAACCAACCCAGAATCCCCGAAAACCCCACCTTATCAAATTTTAACCAAAAATACCTACATTTACCCTTTCATATGAAAAAATTCTATTTCGATCAATCCCGCTGGTTTACACTAGCAAACCCCTCTGTGTTTAGACCATCTCAACCCTCCATTTTTTACCCAAAATTTCATCCCTCCATCCAGAACCTCAGTTTGACCACTCTTTGACACGGTTTGACCAGGCTTTTGCAAAATTACAAAAGTGCCATTCGAAGTCCCTAAAATTACGAAAATGCCATTATTCCTATAAATAGACTTAACTTCCTAATTAAAGAGGAGACACTATTCACTCTCTTCCTCCCATCGACGATTCCTCTTCTCTCCCCTGTTCGAACGAAACCAGCAAACGGCGATCTCCTCCCAAATCTCCTGCCATTCTCTCTCTCCCTCACTCTATCTCTTCCTTCTACTTTCTTCCCTCTTCTTCTTCTCCTTCATGCCATTTTTCTCTTTCCTTCTGTTCCGTCACCGCCGCTGCGACTTGCAGCGGCGATAGATATGACCCGTCCTCCATCACTCTTTCCATATCTCTCTTTTTCTCTCTCTCTCTGCTTCCCTTCCTTCTTCTTCTTACACTTTTCGAAAACCCTCTTCCTTTCCTCTTCTTCCCACCGTATTCTGTTTCGCTTGTTTTCCAACGGCAGAGATCCCCTGTATCTCCCGTCAAATCTGATAAACCATAGTTTCAGTCCATCGTTCTCTTTCTCTCCCCTCACTTCATCGCCTTTACTATCATTCTGGATCGTTGGTTCAATCCCTTGCAGCATCCAAAATCTCAGGCTAAACTTCAGCCTAGGACATCACTATTGAAGGACGAACAATCCAAAACCGTAGCAGGTTGGCTCCCCTCTATTCATCGATCATTGCCAGGCCGAAATCCCAATCTGACTCGGGAGTTGCAGCGTTGGATTCCTCTCGCTGGTTCTCATTCGCCTGGCGGAACAGATCTGGCCGTAGCAGTCATCGTTTGTACTCCATCGGTGGCTAGGGGACTAAAATCCCATTCAATCTGTATTCCAGATAAGTATTATCAGAGCAGGATCTCCCTAATCATCATCGGAGTTCCTGTCACCGGCCGAAATCTCGAATCGAACCGAAGCTCGTCTGATTGCGAAGACCGTCTGATTACACTGTGCCGAGATCATTATCAGGCAATATTCCTCTCAGGTAACGCTCTCCCCCATTCTGTATGTACGAAGTTGAATAATTGGCTTGGTCCGTACTGTTCACGGGTCGGGTTGGGTCGGTTTATTGGCATTTTTCCAACCGACCCGATATGGTCGGTTTACCTAGAAATAAAACCGAAACCGACCCAGTACTAAGTAAAATTGACTTGGTTGGTTTGAATCGGGTTGGGTCGGTTTTGTGAATGATTCTCTCGGTGTGAACACCAACGATAAAGGATTCAAGTCTAAGAAAGCAAAGCCTGGATGCCTAAAAATTAAAAATGATTTGATGGATTAAAACTGATATTTTATAAATCAGAAATTTTATATTTAATATCTGAAATATATTATATATAATATATATCTAAGTTGGTTTGGGTCAGTTCGGTTTCGGTTTTCACACATGAAAACCGAAATCGAATCGAACCATCGATTTATGTTTTTTTGTAACCAAAAACTAATCGGTGCTGAAGAAAAATCGGCCAACTCGGATTGGATCGGACCAGATTGATCGGTTTGATCGGTTTAGGTCTTATTATGAACAACCCTTGGGCTGAGAGTAGGGGGAATGGATTGTTCCAGCTCTAGTACCTCTAGGTATCATCCCGGATTTGCAATGTTTTTCTTTATTTCCTTCCTTAATAATATTTGCGTTTTCCTTATTTTTTATCGTATACTTAGGATTAGAAGGTGTGTTATCCAGTTTTTTCTCTTCCTGTAATTAGCTCACTTAGTTCTTGATTCTCCATGGATATTTTGAATATTTATTATGAAGAATGCATGTTATTAATTTAGACACTTAGGGCCTGATGATTTTGTTTTTTCATTTGAAAACGCTTTCTACTTCTGTTATGGTACATTTTTATAGTATGCTTTGTTGATGTTAGTTTTAGTAAATAATTAATTGTACGTGTTTGGTATCACCATGTGGGTTCCACCTATTGGATTTGGGAGAGAGGTGTCTAACCCCTTTCCTTTTTCATCAAAGTTTTACCCAGGCTGATTAGCCAGTGCCTCGGTCTATTGGAGTCGCTATCGAACCAAAATGATTTTGATGTCATTCTAGGAGGTCTCATCACCTCCATTTCCTTAATTGATGGGTGGCGATTCCATTTCCAGCCCAAATGGTAAGTGAGCCCATTTTTCAATGCTCACATATCGGCGACTCCGCTGGGGACTTTTWGGACCATAGGTGGGGCCCACATGGGGTCCATTTGGCTTGATTGCCTTTTCTTGTATACATGYGTGGTTATGTGCTATCTCTTTTTATTTTAGTAATAACTGTTCATTTTTCTGATATTAAATATTTGTTTACAGCTTTATGTCTATTATTGCTTATATGTTCATTCACACTCTCCCCACACCATTTTGCATTAGTTTTAGTATCCCATGTYGTATTAAGATGGGTCCTAGGTGGTAGGTCATTGGGGCCTTGATCCCAATAGTCGCACGGAATGCCCAAACCGGTCATTAACCAAAGAAGCCCATTTGTCCAATGGGTAGAGGTTTGAAGACCGGCAATCTTGTTGGAGCCTTGAGTCTAGGCGTCAACCCTCCCCTCATGCATCATGCTCCATGTGTCAACCTAGTC